AAACATCATAGTCGCGTAGACCTGCTATTCAGTGATGAAAACCGGCAACCTAAGCCTCCGGACTTGGAGTGGCACACCAAATAAGACTTGGATAAGGTTAGGCGTGCTATGCAGCCGGACGACAACGAAGGGGCCTACCACCAAAGTTGACTGGCGGTGGTCTTTCAGTCTCTTCTCTTCGGATCCATTGATTACAAAGTAACAGCGACTGAACGCATATTTCTTTGTAACTCTCAGCAAGTTGCCCGACATTGCATCCCCGTCAATTGCATTTACCTACCTATCATTGATTCAGCCCGAACCGGTTTTTGGTTTCATGGAAACCCCTAAGACTATAATCTCGTAACTTTTTCCACCGTGGCAATAAAGCTGTATTCATTAGTGATCCGGGTCCACGGTTATTCCGGTCCATTGGGTATTGAGGTATTTATCTGTATGTGTCTGTCTGCTCCTTCCCTGTCGTTCTGTTCTGATATATCATAGGTATGTTTTGAGGTCTTTGCCTAAATCGAGCGACTGGTCCCATTATTGAGCCTGATCCAAACCGTCAATCTGTTTGTTAATAACTAAGACCAATTTTTCAAAATAAAATTGCTTGCCCGTTTGTAATGCCAAATTAGATAGAGCAGCCTCGCTACTTGTTGTTTATACTGGTGTGGTAATATCGATTGCTGAATAATAAAATTCACGTACCACAGCAGTGATCTTCCTCATTTGTCACCAAAGCGACGACATATTCTCAGACACTCGCCACCAGTGGTTATCTTGCTCTGTATTCTGTTCTACCTAAGTTTACAAGGATTCAATCACATGTTATTTCAATTTTTTTGGTTTCTGTGTTGCTATCTACTTACTTTACTTTTACTTTACTACGGCTGGCTCCTTGGAAAGAATAAGCCGGCTCCAGACATGATCATGATTGTGATCATGAGGTTCCTTGCGAGTTCGGTACGAAAGGTGTCTCCGGCGTCACTCGGCTTGTTTTATTTTGAGGGCGCTCCTCTAGTCTTTGCACAACCAAGCGCGAACTGCAAGGCAGCAGGCAGTAATCCCCCGCCTCGGAAGTGAGGGGGTCAATGACTTTAGTTTTAAAAGGCAAGTCACATTAACCTTTGTCACGATACCCGGCTTTTAAACAGGAACCAGGTGATCAGTCTGAAACCCACNCTTATTTGTTGCGGTATGCCACAACTTATTCACAGCTAACTTTCTTCCGGGGACGCGCTTGATAGCATTCAGCTCTCCTTAACCCGAGGGTATCCACACGAAACCCCTATCGTAATTAAGATTTTGCAGTTTTGTTGATCGGTACTTGCTTATCCAGAATTCACTTACCTGAACAATTCTTATTAATCACTTGGTTGTAACCGGTCTTGATAAAATAATCAATGCATTCCCATGTTCTTATCCTTGTCACAGGACGTGCAGCGATGGGTGCACTTCCCGACGCAGATGTTGAGCTCTTCGTAACCGCGGCAGATTTACACGAGATTCTCACCGGGCAACTGGATTTGCTGAAAGCTGTGAACGAGGAGCGAGCCGTGGTTAAAGGCAGTAGCAAAACTCTAGATAAATTGCGTCACTTGTTGTTCCTGCGATCGGGTTAATACACGCCCTGGTATGATGTGTCTGTTTGTTTTGNGCATTTAACTTTTATCTTATCTTCACATCATCAGCAACATCGTGCACGTATCTAGTCGAAATCGCCCTATTCGTCCAATCCCTATTGTGCAATATTTCGTGCAACCGATTGCACGCTTTTTCGCTCATCATTGCTTGGTTTTCATTTTCTCCCGTTTACTTGTACTATGTACTATGTACGTTGCTGCTATTCCCTCTTCATCTTCGATAATTGTTCACCTTTTTTCGTCACACGATCTCTATGTGATTCGGCATTTGCTTCCCGTGCATTTATTCATTGTCTTGTGATATTGAGTTTATCTATCATTTGAATCCAATATCGTATTATCGTTGAAACCACTTAATGCCAAGCCTTCTCAACATTCTCTAATTCTGATTGCGATACCATCACTGGAGAATCAGGTGGACGCTCGACAAAGATTATTCGCGTACATGCCCTACTGGTGATCATACCTATCTGAGAGAACCAAATGGGGGGGTGGTGTAATGAGTTATTTCGTCTTTGCATGAACTATTGTGATGTGGCCGCGATTTGTATGGGGTATCTGAAAGGAGTAGCACCTCTGAGTTGATAGACTGCTGTGTCCCCTTGGGGGCATCCTCTTCCTATTTGATCTCCATCATGTATTCATCTGCCACCTGTGGAATTCGTCAGCGGCCATGTCCGGGCAAAACCCTTTACAGGCAGGCTAAACCAGGTCGAGGGTAATCGAGTTATAATATCCTTGGCGAGACGGTGGACGGCATGCAAAGGTAGCTATTCCTGAATGGGTGGACGAGATCTACTGTCTGACCGAACAGCTATGACGGAAGCCTGTCCAATAAACGGAAGTGCATTAACTCCTGCGTTGCAGCTACATCACCGAATGGCTGGTGAGCTCCCACGGAGCCACCGGCAACCATGCACCGACATGCTGCTGCCTTGCAATCCGCACCTGTCTTTGTAAAAGCTAGAGGTGTGATCTAGAAGTAAAAATCGAGTGACGCTGGAGATGTCTCTTGTGCCAAACGCCATGAAACTGGACGACCGTGTATTGCCTACACACCATTCATGGAGTCGGCCTATATTCCCAAAGGAACCAGCAGCAAAAAAGGTTTGCTTTACTGGCCTCAGTTGTTTGTAACTCATTTAAGGACAGAACTCTACTTGGGATCATATATTTGAGCCAGACACCAGCGATGGTGAAATCCGACCCCGGGTTCGTATGACAGTAAGCTATATCGACTGATCACTGCCTCTAAAAAACAGCCGAGTACGATATGACACTGCACTATCATTATACACAAAAGGGAATGGAGCACTTCATTTGGTAAAATGTACCGGTATTTAATAGTTTTGACAGTCAGCGTTATATGCCATCGATTTCAATGCAGACTTTGAAATGCCTGGGAACAACACTGTTTCGGTCGATGCGATCATGGTCATGGAAGTGAAGTTGCGAGAATCACTAGGTTGTACTTGCTTAGCCGTAGAAAGTGAATAATGCATGCATGCTAGAATACGAGTGCGTACAATGCGAGTTCACACAGTGATCCGTTTTGGAGTCGATTGGCACCTGAAGGTCACGAGCATGCTTGTGGTGTGACGGGGATTCGTGAACGGTCCGATGAGTTCTGCCAGGGCCGTCCTAGCATTGATAAACAGAATCATTCAATTTTAGGTAAAATCTTTTCTCGGCCAAAACATAGTGGGGGGGGGGCGCTTCTTTAGTACTCCACACTGTCTTACCCAACCAGCCGAGAGACACTGACACTGAGAGCTATATCAATTTCTATTTCACCTGTTCGCCGAGGTGACATCATCAGTACTTGGCCACTTCACAAGCACTGGTGATTTCACCACGGCTGGTGATGAAACGTTTTGAAACAAATTGCCAAAACTCGTCAAACAGGCGAAATGGAATTCAGTTCACCGGAGCTACAAGAACCGATTTTCAATATGTCAATTTGTGTCCTACTAGCTTTTCTATAATTCTGAGCACCCGACTACCAGATCGCCTGTTCTCAGCCCGAATGACAAAATTGGACGGCAAACAATGCTGATGAATCAAATTCTTAGCTTCTTTTGAAATTGTGAAAATTTCAGTAGCCATTATTTCGTATTGATGATGCCAAATAGTAACTAACCGATGAGTCTCAAAATTTATTCCATCAGATGAGCATGGCGCAGAACAGTCAGGTGTATGCTTGTAAGGCCAATTGTAGTGGTCAACTCTCACGAGCAGTTGATTGAAGTGGGCACATTTTCGAGACTTATTTTCCAGGGTAAATTGTCCGTTGTATAGAAATGAAAATCTTCAAACGGTTCCGCAGAACTCAAATTGCTTCTGTGGAACTAGCCGCACGACTAGGCGTCTGTCCGAGCGTATCCGTGAGCATCACTCTGCGTGGTTGAGAAGTGGAGTAATTAGGACAATCACAAGTGCCGTTCTGTCGCACCTTGTTGACACTAATCACGCCGTAAACGTTCGGATCCCTGTGCAGAGTCAGAACATTAAGGTCCAGACATGTGCGTTTCCTGTTCTGACCACAGTATTAGCTGTCAGCATTGTTTTCACAGACCTTGTGTGCTCAAAACGAATTTATGCAGACACTCAAGCTCCCAGGGCCGGATTGCCGACAAGTAATATCCGAAAAAATAGTAATGGACTACCAACGAATTTGGATCACACTTTCAAGGTCGGACCAATTATGATGCTAACTGTTGAACATTTGAATTACTTTCCCTTTTAATAGTAGTCAATTTGACATGATCCATTCGACTATTTGCAAGCACTGTTGGTCGTCTTGGGATGGGGACACAGAAAGCATGCACTGCTGACGAGCCTCAAGCAGGACGAAACAGCCGGTCATCACAAATCTGTCCATTAATTTATTTTTGTAAATGTCTATTTTGTTGAAAGTGAAGAATTCTTTTCGATTATTCATTCTCAAGCCTCTACAGTACTATACGGTCACAAGGTAGAATCAAAAGTCAGAATTCTTAAAATGAACGGGTGGGAGAATGCGATTATAGAGTTGAAATCATTTGATTAAACTGATTACACAACACGATCATTTGGTCATCGTTTGATTTTCTGAACAACTGTCGGTTACATCATTTGTGAATAATCTGCTTTCGTTTGCTCAGTTTTGGGTGGTGGGTCCAAATGGCTACCGTCTCGACCGTGTAAAGCATAATTTGACTCAGTTGTTTGAGCAAATTCATCGGGGTTCTGTAAATGACCTTTCTACATCTACCGTAAACCCCGTGTTGATCAGATGCTCCACAATTGAGCTTCGAATGACCTTTTTTTAGTCTTTTCGTAACTGCTCATATGTTATGTTTTAATGGAATGATTACCACTGGTTTAGGTAGTGGAAGGTCGTGAAACCTCAGAACTGCTAGTTTTGAACATTTTATGAACTTGAGTATATATACCAAACACTAACTGTCAGTCAATTTGTCATTGATCTCAACCTTTCATATTCCAAATGGTCACAAGTCAGAGAGGGGTGCATATTGTACTTCTAGGATAGCTAAAGAAACGCGTTTGCAGAACTTCCTTCTCACAAGCGGATGAATTGGACACAGCTTACGTTTACATGCCCATACGTAAATCTGTCATTGGCTGTATAACACGGACCGTATTGCTCTCGTGTCTTTTCTCTGGGTTTGAAAAAATAAAGATTTGAATAAGTTTGTCAGATTTCTTTAAGTCCTATCCATATCTGGAAGTAGCTGAGAGCTCTAAGTACCTCGGGAGCTTGAGAGAAGCTGCTGGTGGCGTTGGGGAGATCAGTTCCACCACCCTAAGTTGCAGATAGGAGTGACCCTGGGATGTACCGACCAGTCAACCTTACTAGCGTTGTGGGTAAAGTAATGGAGCGACTGGTGGCTGCGCGGCTTCGGCAGCATTTGGTGTGCCACGGTCACCCGTGCCACCAACAACACGGTTTCCGGCCGGGTCGCTCATACCTCTCTGCTACTTGCACGTGAATGCTGGACCGAGGACAAGGCCAAAGGACACGAGACGGACATCATCTTCATGGACTTCAGCAAGGCCTTCGACAAGGTGCCGCATGACCTCCTTCTGCGAAAGCTGTCCAACCTAGGTGTAGGTCAGGTAATGCGGAATTGGCTTCGAGAGTTCATCATCGATCGGAAATTCTGCGTCCGAGTTGGCAAATCGCTCTCTGCGTGGTATTCCGCTCCCAGTGGGGTCCCCCAAGGCTCGTTTCTTGGTCCATTGCTCTTTGGGGTTTATGTGAACGACCTGCCTGGTCAACTGTGCAGCCCATCCCTCATGTATGCGGATGACATCAAAATCTGGCGTACAATCAAGGATCCGAATGATCGAAGTTCTCTTCAAGCGGATTTGAACAACCTGGCTCAGTGGGCGGACACCTGGACTCTTCCAGTCAACACAGCAAAGTGTGCTCACCTGCATTTGGGGCGTGCTGACTCAGAGGTAGTCTACAACTTCCAGGGAACCACATTGCGCAGAACATTGTGCGAAAAAGACCTGGGTGTTATGGTTACGTCATCACTAAAGACCCGAGAAAACACCGATCGGGTCTGTGCTAGCGCATGAAGCATTCTGAAGCCTATTCGACGGTCTTTCAACCAGCTCACGATGGACGCTTTCAGGCTGCTGTACGCTTCCCATTTCAGACCAAGACTTGAGTATGGTGGTGCTGCGACATACCCCTGCACGGCCGGTGAACTGGCTAAGTTGGAGCTTGTACAACGTGCTGCCATTAGACACGTTGTTGAACTACGCGGGACCGGCTATGAAGGTCGTCCACAGGCTACTGGTCTAATTCCAAATGTGTATCGGCGCCTCAGGGGAGATCTCATCTGTCTGAAGAAGATCCTGAGAGGTGATATGGACCCGGAGCTGCAACGGTACTTTCCTTTGCGGACAGAGGACCACACGCGGGGGCACTCTCTCACGTTGCGGAAACTTCAGTCAGTTGGTCTTCC